GCGTTACCGACACCTCTCTCTCCCTGGCTGCAGCTGAAGTGTGGCGGTCAGAAAGCCTCGCGCTGCTGCTCAACGTTCGACAAGCACATAGTAACGCACAACCTTCCGTCCCCAGTAACGGTAACGGCGTTGCAACGGCGGGAAAAGTAATTAATTAGATTATTCCGTTACCTATAAAAGAACGCCGTTAGAAACGGTGTTATACTTAAACGGCTTTACTCCCAACACTGGTTGTTGTACCATTTTATACACTTTAGACTTAAATACAAAGTCCCCCATTTCTAAAATTTTATTCTGAACTATAGCTAAATAAATTCATGATTAAAAAAAGCAGAAATAACATGTGTCACGTTTTTAATTTGAATAGTAGTTTCCATCCATAGAGCGTTGCGTTGGTACTGGGGTCTCGTGGAAGTGGGTGGCCGTAAGCGTGCTGCAGGCGGGAATGGACAGCTAACAATAGACCAGGGATCCGTAGATTGTTGGTAGGATTGAGAGTAGGGCTAACGTTAACGGAGTCCTCTGTTGGCACAGGAAGTTCACAACAGCCAATGCAAGTTCCACTGGTGCTGGCTATTGCGTTTGGAAGCAGATGGCTAAAATTATGCTACAAGTCCCAAGATCTGTGTGTTGGATGGAGAGTAGAAGTGAGATTAAAAGAAAAGAATGTATAAAACTCAAAAGGACTGAATTTCTGATATGATGAAAAGCATTTTCTTCTTGCATTAAAACAGTGCAAATTAGCGTATTTAATTGTAAAGTACCTAATTTTATTTCATTAAAGGTTGAACATGGAACTATTTAATAAAAATATGTATTTTTAAAAAATACCGCCACAGGGCATTAAGAGGTGGGCCGAATGAAGACACAGTATTTCATTTAAAGCTATATTTTAATGTAAAAAATCATATTTATTTTGACGGATATGCATATGTTACATCTACCAGCCAATAGAGGGCATCGTTGAGGGCTGCCAAACAGTCAGCTTGGCGCAGCAAGGCTGGCACTGTGGAAAATGGCGGACTCGGCAAGTCAAGCAGCTGCTTCTGAGCCCTGAAGTTGTTAACGTGCTCAGAAGAGGAGCAACCAGAAAAGATCTAAAACCAGAGTGAGTTTAGGTGAAGCACAACAGATGTACGCGAATAAAAAAAATTCACTTATCGGCAGCGACCTTTGCATCCCGACGGCTGGAAACCTTGTTCTATTTTACAACCACAACATCCACACTCTAGATCAGGGGTGTCAAACTCACACGGGGCCAAAATGAAACTCTGGGACGGAGTCGAGGGCCACACTTAATATTTTTTGAAAAAGTGACGGTAAATTTGCACATTTTCTTTATCAACATATATGCAATTTTGAACCTTTAAATTAGGAAAGAAACTTATTTCTGCATTAACACTGAATGTGGAATAACCAAATTACACACGAGCAAGTCAGTTTTAGATAAAAGGCATCAGTGGTATTCATTAATCAGCATTTTAAAGTCTATTCAGGATTTATGTTTTCTTGTTGTTTATTCATTTTTCTTATTTTTTATTCTCCTTTTTTTCTCCTGTAATACGTGTCATCGCTGCTGTGACGTCTAGCTTTCCCCACTGAGGAACAATAAAGGGATTTTCTATTCTATTCATCTATCTGCAGCCTTTTCACTTCCTGTTTACTGTAGGTTAAATATTTTCTCACGTGCCAACAACAAAATAAAAATATTATTTCATCTTAAATGAAAATGCAACATCTCACCTGTTAACTTTCATGTTTTGGAGCAGAAAAAGAGCATAAATCCAACATATTTAAAGCTCAGTTTGCTCCACTGGTTTACTGTGATGCTCACCTGTTCCAGCCAGATACCTGCATCATGGGGTTGATCTGAGCTGAGGAGTAGACTCCTGTTGTTTTGTTCATCTTCATCACAATAATGACAACATTAGATGACAACAGGTGCTCACATAGGTTTGTGCTGATGAACATGTCTGAGCAGCTTGACCATGTTGTTGTGTGTCGGGGAGGAAACACAACCACGGAGCTGTGCTGGTTTGAGCGTGTTGCTGCTCGCTGGAGTTATATCGGCTCTGTCTGGACATTAGTTGGAAAACTTTCTCTTTCAGTCGTGAACACATTACTGAGCGGCTAGAATCTCCGTTTCTGGGCTTCAGCGTCAGAAAACAGCTGAGTGAACTCGGCGCTGAGTGAGAGGAGTGATTAGTTTGTCCGAGACAGCGGAGCTGCAGACACCGGCAGCAGGCGCTGGAAAAAAACACAAAGGAGGGGGCGCGTCGGCTCCGAGCTAACGCAGCAAAGCATCATGGGAGTTGAAGTCTTTGCGGTAAAATCGGCCAGCAGGCCAGTTTTAATATATTTTTGATATTTATCTCGCGGGCCACATAAAAATGCTCCGCGGGCCTTGAGTCTGACACATGTGCTCTAGATGCAGGTGGAGGCGAGGTTGGACAAAAATATTGGCGGGAACGGTATTAAAACTGTCTCGTGCAGGGCTCTTCTCTTTACCTCTAAAGCAGGGTTCCTGTCCGAACCGAGAACTCAAATTCTAAACTTCTGATTGGGGCTAGGACGGTTCTTCAACAATCTCACTGGGATAGCAATTTTCTGCAAATAACTTTGCAGGAAAATATGCTAATTTTCTCTTGTAATTGCACAGAAGTGGTACACACACCACTGCAAATACACGTTGTGTATGCTGCCAGGTCATGTAGGGAGTAAAACGCCGGTGCGGTATACCGGTTCATATTGAAAACTGGTGTTTATTTTTGTTATATTAATTTTTTACATACCACTAAACTGGTGAATAGCCTACATTTGCAGTAGGGTTGCAGGCATGAAAGATATGGCGGAGGATGCTTCTGAATTTCAGTAAAATATTTCCACACAGAGGACTTAAACCGCTATCGCAGTGCTGATAGTTGTTGTAACTGGGTCTGCTCCAACTGCACGTGTGCGTTCAATTTCACTTTTGTCATTGACCGTGCAGGTGTTGCACTATTGTGAGAATGCTAGGCCAAAAATGCATAAAATTACGTGAGAGTAACACATGAACAGTATGCACTGTTAACGCACAAACAATGCATAATTAACATTATGAATGGGCAGTATGGTCTAAAATCTGTATTGTGATATATTTTGAAGTATGTGTGGTAGGGCTGCAACAAACGATTATTTGGATAATCGATTAATCGGATGGGGTCTCGACACGATTAATCGATTAATCGGATTACATGGGGAAATTTTTAAAAACTGCTAGGGAAACGTTATTTCTCTCCTTCATTCACTTTATTTAACACAACATTATTAGAAAACAGTTCAATAGCAGAAAAACAACATGCCATCACCTAAATTGTCTTATAAGGTGTATAGACAGAGACCCTAAGCTACATCTATCTGTGACCTAAAATGCTTGGTCCAAGTTAAACAGCTTAAGGGCAATTCTCATCTGTTTTGTTTGATCTCATCTGTTGACATTTATTTTAAATGTAATTAAACATAGGCTGTGAATTAATCAAAATTGATCACTATTTCCAAAAATGACTGAAAAAATACCAAATAAAGCAAAAGTAAATGAATGCCATCCTCCTTGCGATGATGCCCTGGGCAACTGCCATAAAGTCACATCAAGAAATGCTGCTGATCATTCCAATGATCCCAAATAGACTCACATTAGGCCACATGAAAGCAACTGAACCCAAAAATATATTAACCAGTATATAACTGCACTCTCACACAACACGCCTGCAGCAACAGTTAGGACTCCTCCCTCCCTTTTAAAAGCGTTTTTGCTTCTGAGGACATTGTGGTTGTAAAACCACATGCTAGTAGTCTGGCCCCGGTGTGATCAACCAGTTTCTGCGGGAATGTGACGGCGGAACCAGGGCCAGATTAACACTTTGTTGTACCCTGGGCAACAATATTCAAGGGCTCCATCATCACGACCCAAGGATCACCATAATGTGGTCACATACAGAATATTTTACTGTAATATGCAGTAAATATACTCAATACTTGAATGCCTGACAACACGTAACCTGCCCAGAGTAACCTTTGACCCACCTCGTGTGGACTGACCAATGAGGAGAGGGTCTTAACTTGAGGCCCTCTCTTCATTGGTCAGTCTGCATGAGACTGACTCTCAACTGACATTCAGTCGTAGGCAGCGAAGCGTCTCTGTGCAGCGCAAAAGCCCGGGTGGACAGTTTGTTTAATATAGGGTGATCATATTTCCATTTCCAAACAAGAGGACAGGGGATCTGTGCCTATGACGTCACACTATGGCAACGCCACACAAACCATGTTGGGACCCATTTTTTGTAAGAACCAAATTAATATCAGATTCTGCCAATAAAAGGGCTCTAAAACAATTCATATGTAAATATTTTGCATATTTAATGCAAAATCTAATTTTTCTGCTTTAGTGCTGCAACAAGGTTTTATTAATAATAAATTATTATACCTTTTGTTTTACTACAGCATCGGTAAGCTTCCTGTGCACAGATTATTAAGGGTGCTTGTTTCAGCGGTGAGATTAGACGATAGGATCAATGAAAAAATAAGTTGTCACACACTCCATGGAAACTTTCAGAGAATCCACAAATAGTGGCTTTCAAATGGTTTTGTTACTTTTAAAAAGTTTAGAAAAGAAGCTGATGAGACAGCATGTCTGATAATTTAGTTTTTCATCTGATAATATTAGAACATGTCAGTAATGTCTGAGGGGCTTTTATAAAAACTGTATAACTAATACTACTGGAGAGGGTATGAATTACACAGAGGCTTCTGGGGAGCCCAGTTATGGGGGGGGGGGGGGGGGGGGGGCATTTTGCCTTGGCCCCCAAAATGTCTTGAAACGGCCCTGGGTGTGTGACTGAGTTTTGAAGGTGATCTGAATTGTATCAGATGTGTAAATATAACATGTGTATAACTTATTGTTTTATACTGGTAAAAACGTGTAGTGGAGATAAATCTACCTACTTTTTACTTTTCAACACTTTGTTTTGTTTTCTTGTTTTTATTTAACTATTTTCCTGTCCTGTCTGTCTCTCATCTTCCTGCATCTCCTCTTAATTCTCCAGAAAATCTGTTGCCTGGATTCTTACCTTTTCACCTCATCAGTTACTTTTGAGCAGATCAAAGGGATCTCCTGACCACACAGAGGAGAGCGCGTTTTCGATGCTGCGTGAGGTGACATCACCACAGCACAGGTGATGAGCTCCGCAGTAGCGCGCTTCAGGCACAAATAATACAAAATAGAGAACATGTGCGGACATGAACGATCGTGTGCTAATTATAGTTTTTTGGTTTCGCCACTTTGAGAATGGACCATGCGCTGGAAGCAGCTGCCTGGATCGTTGCACAACAATGCGGAACCGGTTCGCAGCAGCGCAAGTCTGCCGGCTCTCCCTCGCGCTGATCTGTCGGTACCGGCTCTCCCTCGCGCTGATCTGTGGCTCTCCCTCGCGCTGATCTGTGGCTCTCCCTCGCGCTGATCTGACTTGCTCTGGTTTGCGCGCAACGGCGGGCGGGAAGGGGGGGCGCTTTTGAAAGAGTTGTGCGACACAACGAATCGATGACGCAATTCGTTGCCAACGCTTTTAGTAATCGATTTTCATCGAATTTATCGATTCGTTGTTGCAGCCCTAATGTGTGGTAACGATATATATCATGATATATTCTTTTCTTCCGCTTATACATGTCAAAATGACAATTTTTTTATGCTCACATACCAGCTACATGGCAGCAGAAGAACAAATACTTGTAAATTTATAAAATGCCATTTAAACTAAGTCACAGATGTCCCAAAAGTCAGAAAGCCTGTGTGTGAATCGTGTAAATAAAACAAATGGCGTTTAAGGGAATTAGCATCAACAAGCTATTAAGACAGATACAACTTTACTGTTGTCCAGAATATTTTACTGAGGATGTTTTCTGCTCAGCATTTGACTCCTTTAACACAATCCAGGTCCGTACAATTAACGTTACCCCGTCTCCTCAATAAGCATGTTTTCTTTTACATGTTTTGCGCTGCTGCTGTGTTTTGTCTAGAGCTAAATGCAGCTTGACAACTTTTCTGCACTGTTGCGGTTAACTAGTAGTGTCAAAATGTCTACCGGTGGCTAAATTTATATCATATCAACCGTATACCGGCTATACGGAGCCCAAGTCCCAGGAAGATGGGTGGTTGCCTGGACCGATTCAAAGCACATAGTTTATTTTATTTAAAACTTTTGAAACCTTTGAAGTGTTTAATATGTCATGCTGACCATTACCAGTATTACTATTAGAGGTGCCTGAAATCAGAATCGCGATTTATTAAGAATCAGAATAAAACTCGAGAGTCGATCCTATCTGAAAGCCTTTCTGTCAGCTGCCATATTTCCGAGCGTCCCTGAACGCTTCTTTGCTGGAGCTAGTGCTAGCATTAGCTGCTCCCTTATGCGCTCTCTCTGTGTGCTCCTGCGCTACAGTCTGTTGAAATACGACACTTTTCCTATTATTCAGTATGCTGTTTTAGTCACGAAGTAAGTTCCATTATGTTTAATGATGTTTAAATGGTTTTATACTGTTTAGTTTGTGTTTCACGTCGCCGTTATGCAAACTGTCGAATTTCCGAGCATCCCTGAACGCATCATTGCGCCGGCGTTAGCTGCCTGCGCTGCAATCTGCAAAAAAATAGCAGACTTACCTTTATTATTGTCCTGTGTGCGTTTTATGAGTACAAAAGTAAGTTCCATTGTGTTTTATAATGTTTAAATTGTTTTATCCTGTTTAGTTTGTGTTGGTGTTCAGCACCGTGACGCATAATTGACGCTTGTTAAGACTCATTAGTGAATTAGTCCTGACTAATTAGTTAGTCTTGTGTTCAGTGATAAGAGTTACTGGTTTATGTGAATACATGCTGCTGCATGTTATAAAGCCTGTTTATTATTGGTCACAAACTCCTCTCAAAGTTGTCTCACATTTCTGTTGAACTAGAAATGAATCAGCTCCAAATGCAAACAATGACAAACTTTTTAGAGCGGGAGTGTTTCCACAAAAGGTTTTTGAACATGTTAGAAAATTTAAGCAATAGAAGATCAGTGCCCTGTGACTCATGCAAGGAACATTTCAGCCTTTTCAAGCTCTCTTGCAAATATTTTGCCACTAGCCGTAGCTTCAGAATGACCTCGTGTCTCAATCATCCTTTTAATGTACTCACAGTCGGCTGATTTCCACCCCAAATCAGCCAGAAAGTGACATGTTGAGGAGAAAATGTAGCTAGTGTTTCACATGTTTTGGATTTTCCACCTGCTTTATGCTGGTGAAATGAAAGAAAACACCCTCTCCTTCTAAATGAGTCATTTGAGCTCAGTTTAAAAAAATAATTAAATTAACTGCCAATACTGTTGAGATCAATTAATAAACAGGTCTTTACTTCAGCTGCCTCCTCTGTTGGTCGTGATTTGAGGCCTGATTCCAGCTCCCGTGCAATGAAAAAAATAAATAAACTCAGAGCCTTTGTGTGAATTTCTCTAAAATTGACTGTAGTTTTGCTTTCATCAACCTGGTATGTTAAAACGTGTGTGTGTGTGTCCCTCTCTTTTTGACAGGCTGTGGTGGAATGAGCAGTGTGTGTGTGTTGAAGAGGAAAGAAGTGCTCTGGCAGGATTCATTCAGCCCCCACCATAGAAGTACGTCTCCCAGCATGCCTGTGGTGCTGAGTAGTGGAGGACATGCCCCCCCAACTGGACCACCACCCCAGGCCACGCCCCCCAGCCAGCAGGTAATGCTCTGACTCCTGTCTCCCTTTAATGAATGTATAAACAAAGGTTTTTGTGAATAATCAGACTGTAAATAATCCATGTTTAATGAAAAGAAACCAGTTACTGCGTTTTGTAGACCAAAGTGGAGTTTTAAAGTTTAAAAAATGTTCAAAAGTTTCATATTTGATAACTTCACTTAACAGTTTTTTTGGGGGGGTGTTCTAGAGGGTTCTCTTATCTCGCTGTTAGCATTATTCTCTTATTTTTACTTCCAGACTCTGCCATGATGCCAACAGAAAAGCAAACGTCTTCTTTTTCTTCTTCATGTGCTAACTGTTGTCGATGAGCAAACTGAAAAAGCTAGCTGCACTGAACATGGCTAACTGCCGTAATGCATGTATAAGAGCACCCCCAAGAACACCTGCCCCCTCCACATAACTGTTGATTGCAGTATCTGGTCTGAAGAGGGCTGCAGAGTGGTGTCAGATATGAAACTGGTCAAGTTTCTAACACAACAGTCACTGGGATCAATGCTAAAGCTCTAGCTTAAAGTAAAAAAAAAAACCCATTAAGTGTTCTCTAACTGGTAACAGACACCTGGAACCGGTCTCAAACTCCTCCCCATTTAGTTCCTGTGAGCCAAAAATGTCAGGAAACAATCATTCTGTGCTACGCCACAAAGATCTTCCTCCTGGCTCGTGTGTGACGGCAGCAGATGGAGCCTCCGCTCGTCACATGGAGCCACAGAGGAGGAGCTGATAAAAACATCACAACTGTCGTTGTCTGTTTTGGCTTGGTTTGCATTTAACCACGACGATCTCTGTGTGTTTACGTCTGATATGATAAATGCAGCCAAATCAGGGAGAGCCCTTTGCTTCCTCTTCAGCCCGTTTGGAAGTAAAATAAAATGTTAAAGCAGCTTTTGGGACTTTTAGTTCAAATAAAAACAGCAGCAGCAGGATCACCAATGAAAACATTCAGCAGAATGTTATTTTCTTATTCAAAAATAAGTTAGAAATCTTAGTAAAACTGATTATACGGTTTGTATCAGGTCGTGTTATTTATTTTTCTTTACGTTTCCAAATGACAACCGGCTGTCTCTTAATTCATGTTGACTAAATGTTCTTTGGTGGCGACGAGGAGGAGTTCAGTGTTTTCTCTCCGAACCCGGAAGGCAAGAAGTCGCCTCACTGGTTACTGGAATGCTCGAGTTTTAGAGAACAGCATGCAGCTCCAAAACCTTGATGCAAAGGGTGTAGGTAATGAGTTAAGACTCTTTTTATGTGTCTTACGTATTTTCTAGATCAAAAGGAGAAACTGGTAAAGTTTAGTACTTAAACTAGGGTTGCCACGGTTATTGTGACCAAAATTATCACGGTTTTCGGTATTATTGCGGTATTTTTTAAAAAGTGTTACATTTTCAGACAATTAAATAAACCCTGTATGTCAGGAAAATATTGTCCTTAGTTTGTGTCTAAATTTTGCCTAAAATGTGTTATTTTGTAATTATGTTGTTTATTTGTTTACATTTTTCCCCTTTAGTCTTTAAAATACCAATATTTGCCCATTACTTCTTATTTTTTGTCTGTTTGATGTCATCATTTTAAAAATATTAGATCAGATGATACCCAGTACTCAAGTAGCCTTCTAATCAGATACTTTTTTACCCTTACTTGAGTAATAATCCCTATATCAGGAAAATATTGTCCTCGGGTTGTGTCCTTCCAGTGAGCTTTGCAGATGTGGGAAAATGTTATCAGGCAGTAATCGTTGTTAAATTCATAATTATTCTCGGAGAGAGACCAACTCTTATCTGCCCCTGGGAGCCCCGTAATGCATAGCGTCATTTCAACATGGCGGTGTCCGCGACACAGTTTATATGCAGGTAGCGGCGCTGCGGCTGCTTTATATAGCGACTCGTTGCGTTCTCCCTCAACCCAAATCCTTGGATCACGCATTTTAGCTAAAATGCTAACGTTAGCTTGCCTTGCGTTGACTGTAGAGTTGTGGGTGATGGTCACGCAGATGTGTCATGAGATTTGAAGCGTTGCTGCCTTTCACAGACTCTTTTTCTGCACGTGCTGCAAACAGGATAGCCGTCTTCTATCAACTGTCCCTCGGCATTCTTCACATATCCAAAACATGCCCGTACTTCCCACTTTGTCTTCTTTGAGGGATAATAAATGTCCTGAGCGCTGCCGTCTCCTCCTTTGGCCATTATTTCAGCTTTAGCCTAAATAAAGTTTTGTTGTAAACAACAAAGTGCGCATGTGCCGCCGGCAACTTCAGCAGATGATACGGTGGCTGGTAAGGGTCACCGCGCCTACACCGCAGCCACGGTAATCCACCGAAATAATATATTAGTTAAAAAACAAGACGGTTATTATTATTGTCAACTTTTTTACCGGGGTTTACCGCTACAACGGTTACCGTGACAACCCTAACTTAACCACTCTCTCTCACACACACACACGCACGTGAACCTCTACAGATTCAATCCTAATTTCCTCTGAGGTTAATTATATCCTGTCCACGGTGAAGTTGCTGGTTTCGTTTCTCGCCGCCCGTAGTCCCAGAGTGATGCTAGTGTGTCTCCTCAGGGCGTGGCGGGCGCTGGACGTTCCCAGGATGATGCCATGGTGGATTATTTCTTCCAGCGGCAGCACGGAGAACAGCCTGGCAAACACCGCTGGCCCACCGGAGACAACATCCATGACAGTCAGGTGTGCAAGTGGCCTGGAGCAGCGATATAAAACCTGTTGTTGCTCATTATTGAAAGTGATTAAAGTTTGGTTTATGCATTAGATCAGAGCGAGAAGCACAAACTGTCTGTTTCTATGTTCAGGTGCGTTCCATGGACGAACTGAACCACGACTTCCAGGCCCTGGCGTTGGAGGGACGCACCATGGGAGAAGTGAGCTCAACGTTCCCTTTTTCCTTTTAAAAGTGTTTAAATTAAATCTCGGAGGTGTGACAAAAAGCGCACCCATCTTCATTCGTAACGGGGAACGCTGTTTTGTTAGCAGAGCACATATGGGCTAGTAGAAGCTAACTGTTAGCATTAGCAACTCCACAACAAAGCAGATCTCCTTCAAGATTGTGTTATTTGTGGACATGAAGCATTAATGTTGCAGAGTCGGTGGTAGCGTTTCATTGCTGTCAGCCCATCAGAGGAGAAATGTTCAAGTATCAGGAAACAAACGGCTACTTTCTACTCTGGCTGAATTCTACATCTGCAAACCAGCGCACCGGAGCTCTTTTTCCCCAGAGTATGACCTGCGAGGCATTCATTCCTACTAGAGACCGCTGCAAACGTATTAAAATATGAGTGACAGGACAGTCTGCTGGTTTCTTCTTTGTAGGACGATCTTTTGTGACGTCAGTGATTGTTTCTTGCATTGCGTCACGGTAGCGTGTGGCAAGAAAGAGCATATTTAGCCTATAATTCTGTTGTTTTACACGTTTGGAGGAGGATTCAGCCAAGCGGATGGATCATTCTTGCTGTGTGGTTGTTTGTTTGGCCCGTGGGAGGCTTGATAAAAAGTTTTATTGGGATTTCCTCCGTAAACGACCGCGAAGTACGAAAGAGGTGATGGGAAGCGATAGGGCCGAACGATTTTAGGAAAAGATTGGATTGCAATTTTTCTAGCAGAAATTGCGATTTTGGTTCAATTCACGATTTTCTGCAAACAAAGGTCCAACCCGAGCCTGCCAAGCCGTCCTGTAGATGAAGTGAAAAGATGGTCTGGATTCTAACCTAGTAGAACAAATCATTCACATTAATATTTACTATTTAATCATACAATAAAAACAGTTGAAGCTGTTGATATTTTCTCCCATTATTTTATTTATTTTTTAATGTGTTTGTGAAGCAACTTGTGATTTTTATTCAGAGAGGAGCTTTATAAAAACATGTTCTACTCCACAAATGCATGGAGGAGATCTGTAGGTAGAAACAGCGTTTAAATGTATTAAATAAACAGTTTTCCTGCTTTACTGCGGCAGGCTGAAGCCGTCTGATAGTTTTTCCTCACTAAAGCGTCGGCTCCGTGAGAGACGCACGCATTCTGACACCTTAGCTTGTCTGAGCTACGTGTGCCGTCAGAAACATTCAAACCATTTTTAAAAGAGAAGCTGAGCTTTCAGGTCGACTAAAGTGCGTGAGTCCGCACTCGCGCTGATGAAGCATAAACCAGGCTTTAGAAATCAGCCTGAACCTGCTGATGTGGGAGGAGTCTCTCTCTCCCTTAAGCCGGCGTACACTGTGCGACTTTTTCACTTTTTTTTTGAGCCGATTGTCCACTCGTGCGAGAATCCACGAGATCGGGGCGAGTTTTGCGCTGAGCGGTCGTGTGGTGTACAGGGGGTTACGAGAGGCGATTAACACCACGTGACCAGCTGCCGATCAGCAATCGTGAGCTCGCACGGACTTCTGGAGTGTTTGAAATTTTGCTCGTTCCTCGTGAGGGTATCGCACTGTTGAAGCGGCACAGCGAGCGGCTGCGACCCTAAAAGCATCAACACCGCTCACCCGCTATTTCCCTAATAACACACGTTATTGTTTTTATTTCTACACATTTTTTTACTCACAAAGATTGTCAAGAAAGCGTGTTCGTCGTGTTCGTGTCAAATTAAACTGATCACAAAACACAGATTTACTTTCTTTATTTCGTTTTCCTCATCCAACCCCCATAAATCCCTGTGTGTCCTCCTGCAGCACTCCCGAAGGACAACAGGCAAGACAAAAAAGTCTGACGTGTTGAGTAAAAACTGCTATTTTTAGCATATTTTTAGGTCCGACGTGTTGCTACCAGACGTACCGTGAGCACACGACTCGTGAGATCTGCCCTGCGAGGAAGTCGTACAGTTTGAGTTGGAGCTGAGTGCTGCGAGTGAAAAAGTCGCACAGTCTCCGCCCGGCTTTACTCAACTACGTTCTCTCTGTCTCTGTCCCGGGCTCACCTACGGTGCATTGTTATGGGCTCTAGCAGCGCTGTGTGTGGGAACATAAAACAGGGAAAATAACCTGAACACGCAGCTCTGTCAGCTGTGGAGTTGGGCTCAGCTGTGGACGCCACCATAACACGGGGGTGGGGGGGGGGAAGAACCCCAAATGTAAATAAAAGTTGCACAGCTGATCCTGGATCAGTCAAAACCGCTAAAACGGCAGCTTTGACGGTCACGTGATCGTGCGGTTTGAAATCTCAATTTCGGTCCAAAAACGAGACCGTTGAGCTCCAAGGAGCGACCCGGCCTCCCAGAAGAAAGCCTGCACTCCTGCAGCAACGGACGGTTTGTGAGGCTCACTTAGTTCACGGTAAGTCTTTGTGACGACGTAAACATTCATCTTTGTGTGTTTTTAAATCCACTGAGTCGTGTTTTCCCGTTCCGATTCAGGTGTCTAAACTCGCAATCATAACAATAAAAAATAAATGCGGACAGAAGACCTGCCCAGCTTTCAGTCGCGGTGAGGGTTGATCTGCTTTCTTTGGCCGTCGCCCACTGGTGACGTCACCAACGCTGTGACTGCTGCTGCTAGCCAGACCGCGGCTCTTTCGTTTCCAGACGAGATCGGCTCAACTTTCCTTAAAACAAAATAGTCGCAGGCCTCCAAACGTTTGAAAGCCTTTATTTTTGTTATGAGTCAAGAGCACAGGGCTCTCTGCTGAATCGGAGTAAACGTCTCCCCGACAGTTTTAGGAAGAAAAATAAACACCGGCGTGTGGGACCAACGTTTTCCGTCGTCCCAGAGCTCATACAGGCTTTTAATACCTTTAATTTTGTTTTTAATACAGATTTTAGTCTTCTCTCTAAACCTCCTCCCGTCTTTAGACGGTAAAATGTTTGTTTATCGGAGATTTTGACCGTAAACTCTAGAAAGTTTACGCTGCGTATTGATGGCAGGTGTTTGTTTTGCCACCCAGACACTTGCACATGCACACAAAGACGAAAAAATACGTCAACAAAGATTCTCCTGTAGAATAAAAACATTGAAACAATGCAGCCGTGGACCTCTGCAACAACTTATTTACCAGTTTTGGTTTTTGGGGAATAAACAAATAAAAGTGTTGAGTTTTGTAACGATCTAAGAATTAAGGCTGCAACTAACGACTATTTTAATAGTCGACTATTGAAACGGTGAGTCGATTAATCGGGTAATAATTAAAATTTTCTTAAATTTAGCATGAGATTGCTTTAATTATGTGAAAAATGATGATAAACAAGAGAAAGTCTTTTCAGTGTTGAGGAGCGATGTGGAGATGAACCAGCTGCTGAGATCCCAGAATCCAAACTCGGGTTAAAACCTGCCAGAAGCGATGGGAAACATTTGTGCCTGACCCCCCCCCCCCGGGCAGAAGTGATGCTCCGTGGTTCTACTGGAACGTTGTGAGATGGACGCGGTTTCCTCTCTTTGTTTTTGCAGCAGCTCCTAACTAAGAAGTTCTGGGACACGGACGACTCGGGCAAGGACGGACCAAAAGGGATCTTCTTGGACCAGTGGAGGGACAGCGCGTGGGGCGCCTCAGGTATCGAGCTCTTCTGGTTCTTGTTGCCGAGCCGCACGCGTAGGGATGGGTACCGAATTTGGTACTTTTTAAGGTACCGACCGAATTCCACAGTACCGACCGAGCACCGATTCACTTCATTTGAAACGGTGCCTCGTTTCGGTACCCGTCCTTCACAACGAGAACTTGCCTAGACAGCTGCGCATGCGCAAGAGCGTTATGTCGTCGGTCGCTGCGAGCCAGTTGTAAACAGAGCAGCTCCGGTAGGTAAATAAAATGTTTAAGATAACGTTAGCTTGATTTGTTAGCTTCCGCTTCGCTAATGGTGCGTTCGCTTTCTCCTCGGAACTCCGAATTTCCGACTAGAAGAACATGAACGCGCTCTAAAGTTTGGCTTCACTTTACTAAATGCGACGGGTGATTGGGTGAAGATGAAACCAGCGACAACGATCTAAGTGTGAGGCATCATCGTTTTAATCTGCTCCAGCAGTTAAATAAACTGTTTAAGATAACGTTAGCTTGATATGTTAGCTTCCATTGCCACCGTTGTTGTCAGCTAATGGTGCGTTCGCTTTCTCCTCGGAAATTCTAACTTCCCAGTAGGAAAAATGAAAAAGGACGGCAAAAGGAATGAAGATACACAGTAAATTTAGTTCACAGTAAAGATGTTTGCTTCAGTTTAATTATCAGCTTATAAAACTACAAGGACGATGTTAAAATACAAACAGTTGTATGATATTTATCGTGATATTTATCAAATATGATTATATATTGAGAAAAATATATACTTATTATAAAAGAGAATTAAAAATATTAAACACTCAAAAGTATCGAAAATTGGTACCGTTAAGTACCCGTATCGATTCAAATGTCAAAGGTACCCATCCCTACGCACGCGTGGATCCGCCTTAATTATCCCCCCTCGTGTTTTCTGTGACAGATCACTCGGTGTCTCAGCCAATCATGGTGTCGCGTCGGCCGGGGCAGGGTTTCCACGGCGGGGGTGAGGTTGGCGTGGGCTCGGTGATGTCACCGCGGTCGGAAAGCGGCGGACTGGGAGTCAGCATGGTGGAGTACGTTTTGTCGTCCTCGCCGGCCGACAAACTGGATTCCTGCCTGCGGAAAGGACCATACGTGAGTGTGTCCTCCGGTTTGTTCTGCTCGTGTGTCTGCCGCCCGCCGCTGACGGAGCTCCGCTCTCCGCGCAGGGACAGCGGGACGGGGAGGTGGAGGAGGAGAAGAGGGAGAAGCCCAAGACGTCGTTCGAAGGCGAGAAGCTGAAGGAGTTGACGGAAAGTCAATCCGATGTCATTGGTGATGTCATCAATCCTAACGGGCTGCCCGTACAGAACGGCCTCGACGTCGATGTGAAGGAGTTTGGGTAGGACGCTGTGATGTCATAGATGAACGTGTTACTCCGACGTTCTCTAACAGAGCCTCTGGTCCCTGCAGGCGCCCAGCGGGCAACATGCCCCCCACCGGGCCCGAAGGCGACCTGCTGGGGGGCCCCGGAGGCGTCGGGGCCGAAGGCTTGGCGCCCCTTGTAGGTAGCGGAGGGCCCAAACCTCCAGAGGACTTCTCCGGCGTGGAGCAAGGTGGCGTCACCATGGATCAGATGGAGTCTGTAATGGAGCCGCTCCAGTTTGACTACAACTCCCAGATGCCCATGGACTCTGCGCCCACCGTGGGCCTGTTTGATTACACCAACCAGCAGCAGGTAGCGGCCGCAGCACAGGCGCCGTGAATGCAGCCGACAGGAAACTGTGATTTAACCGCTGTCGTTCCGTCTGCAGCTGTTCCAGAGGAACAACGCCCTGGCGGTGCAGCAGCTAACAGCAGCCCAGCAGCAGCAGTACGCTCTGGCGGCGGCGCAGCAGCCCCACATCGGTGCGTCTGGTCATCGGTCTCCCACCGCCTCACGGTGGATTTCTGAGTATCGGATAATCATTCTGTTTGGTTTCCAGGTCTGTCTCCTGCGTTTGTGCCCAACCCCTACATCATCAGCGCTGCTCCGCCGGGGACGGACCCCTACGCAGCCGGGCTGGCTGCAGCGGCCACGCTCGGTCAGTCGATGTTTTAGTTTTTTTAAGAGGTTAAAGCGTTCGTCTCACCCCTCCTCTTCCATCTGTGTTTGCGCACAGGGCCGGCGGTGATGCCGCCGCAGTACTACGGCGTGACCCCCTGGGGGGTCTACCCAGCCAACCTTTTCCAGCAGCAGGCGGCTGCAGCCAACAGTTCAGCCAATCAGCAAGCAGCAGGCCAGGGCCAGCAGAACCAGCAGCAGGTTGGTGTTTAACGCGAACACGCCGCTCCGCTTTAGCTTCGGCATTAAATCAAACCGTGTCATTTTGTGAAGGTGATGCGAGCTGGGGGAAACCAGCGCCCTTTGACCCCCAGCCAAGGCCAGCAGGGTCAGCAGAATGACCAGCTGGTTGCAGCAGCAGCGGTAAACTCCGCCCTCGCCTTTGGGCAAGGCTTAGCAGCGGGGGTCCCTGGTGAGTTCCGTCATCCTGTGAAGTAAAAAGCGATCCCGGGTCAGGTGGAGCCGAACCGCCACCCTCAGTGTCCTTCTGTTCCCGTTTGCTCCCCAGGCTACCCGGTCCTGGCACCTGCAGCCTACTACGATCCGACGGGGGCGTTGGTTGTGAACACCGGGGCCCGGAGCGGCCCCGTCCGCCTTATGGCTCCTGCCTCCGTCATCTTATCTCCTTCTGCAGCACAAGCAGGTCAGAAGAATCGGGGGCTACTTTTAGGCTTTCATACAAAAAGGTTCTTCAAGGTTGGAATAGTTTCAAAAATGCTAAAAATAGTTTCCTGCCTGCCTCCTTGCTCCTCCAGTGGCAGCAGCAGCAGCCTCTGCAGGTGGTGCCAACGGGGGTCTGGGCGGAGGAGCCAACGGTCCGTTCCGTGCCATGACTTCCCAGCAGCCTCAGCAGCAGGGGGGCCCTGGCGGCGCTCTGGGAGGAAGTTCCTTCTACGGCTCCTCGTCCCTCAGCTCATCCTCCCAGAGCTCCTCTCTCTTCTCACAAGGTTCCGCTCAGCCTGGACCCGGTTCTGCCTCTCTGGGCTTCAGCCAGCCCACCTCATCCTCCCTCGGCGCCACGCTCGGGGCCACACTGGGGGGCTTTGGCACCGCAGGTAAGAACGCACCTCTGCTGTCAGTTTGCTGGCCTCGTTTGGGGGGTGTTTCCTAAAAGGAGGTCTCCGTCTCCCTCTAGTGGCCAACTCGAGTGGAGGCAGCGGCTCCAGGAGGGACTCCCTGACCGGCAACAGTGAGCTGTACAAGCGCACCCCCTCCAGCCTCACCCCCATAGGTCACGGAGGCTTTTATAACGGCACTCTGGGCTTCAGTCCATCCCCCGGTCCCGTGGGAATGCCCCTTCCCAACCAGGGGCCGTCCCACTCCCTCACACCCCCACCCTCCCTGTCCAACCACAGCTCTTCGTCCAACCTCAACCTTGGTAAGTCTTATTAACCGAACCGGCCTTCGTGGAAGGGGCTAGCTCACGGGTGATTCTGAACGTCGTTACATCCCATAATAATTATCATCATGCTGCACTTTTAGGGTTTGAACGTGTCGAGTCACGCAGCTTCTCTGGAGTTATTTACCGGCTGAGACTCGCTGAGGCGCCGATGTAATTCGGTGATTAAATGAGGGCTAAAAGCCTCGTTAGGCGCTAACGATGGGTTGGCTCTCTGGTGCTAAAGCGGCCGTAAACAGCTTTACTGTGCATCAACTCTAACGGGGACTTTTATTATATCCACGCGTTTTGGAGTTTTGACTCGTTTCCAAACTTCGGTCCGACCTCGTTAACGTGGAGCGGGAGAGTTAAATCTTTACTGTTATTGGAGAATAAATCAAACCTGGGAGGAAAAAAACATCTTTTTATTCAGTTTCAGCTAGGGATGCAAATTATCGAGTAATTCATTAATCAATAGTCGTTTCATCTTATCGATCGATGATCGATTAATTGATAAGCGGCAATTTTTCTGAAAAGTTGAACTTCCCTCTGAATCGGTTCCATCTACTGTATACGTAACATAAAATGCTATCTTCTGTATCATGTAAAGACAAAATGCAAACCATATTCCCTAATCAAAGATTAATTGTTATGGTTGTTCTAGAGGGGATATTGTACCCCAGCTCAATGTACTTTATCACTTCTTGAAATCCCTGTCCATCAACAACGTTTATCAGCAGCATGTCTGTAGTAACCATGTTACATATTAGCTGGGTAATGCCCTCTGCTTTCATGGAGTCACACACCCTTGTTCCCAACGCTGTGGTGAATGTAGGCTAAGAACCTCTCGCTGTTTGTAGCACGGCTGAATGTGGCATATTTAGGTGGTAATTCAACGAAGTTGTGGAATTGTTGTACTTCAAAATACTTCCACATAATGTGCATGTGGGGTCGTTGTCGTTGACCACTCCGTTTTGACGTCTTCATCCTCAGTGTACCGATCGTTTCTCCTTGGTCTGTTGTCGTCAGAGCCCAGCTTTGCTTGTGTTTCTGCGTGTGCGTCAACTATGTCTGGCGTCAAGCACACCCCGCGAGGACTGGCGGGGAATTACGGACTCAAAATTCAATTAATTGCAATTAAATCATTTTACTTGAGTAATTTCTTATCGACAATTATTTGATAATCGATTGATTGTTTCCACCCCTAGTTTCAGCTATAAAAAAATAAACTTAATGTTTGGAATATTTTGGATATGAATTTCTAAAACGCGGGTTTTCCTTTTACCTTTGAAGTTTAAGATTTGTTTTACTATTAAAAACCTTTTAACGTGTTCCAAAGGAGCGTGTAGTTGGCTGTTTATCTGCAGATGACGAACGTTTCTCTCGTCTGTTCCCACAGGAGGCCTGACCAACGGCAGCGGCCGCTTCATCTCTGCTGCTCCAGGGGCGGAGGCCAAGTACCGCAGCGCCGCCAGCTCGGGCTCCTCCCTCTTCTCTCCTAGCAGCCAGCTTTTCCCGTCGTCACGGTTACGCTACGGCATGTCGGACGTGATGCCCTCGGGTCGCAGCCGCCTTCTGGAGGACTTCAGGAACAACCGCTACCCCAACCTGCAGCTCAGAGACATCGCCGGTCACATCATGGAGTTCAGTCAGGACCAGCACGGCAGCAGGTAACCATAGCAACCGCGTCCGGATTCTGGGTGATGCCTTTTGGTGAAGATCGTCTTCTCTGTCCAGAAGTTTTATAATCCTTTCAAAATAAAACAACCCTGTGGGAGTTCCTTCTGGCCGGTGGTGTGCTGAAAAATGCGCCCCTACCTGAAAATGACGCTGCTTCATCACATCTTCATTGATTTTTCGTATTTTGACGACATCTGGGCCTCATTAGGAGGAGAAATGTCCTTATTTATGGTTTTGTTTGGCTGGTTTGAGTGAATCTGTGGAGCTGAAACGTTTGTTTACGTCCTCCGACCTCGCGTTACTCTAGTGTAAATATTTTAGGTTCACTTTTCGTCTGATGGTTACGCAAACGAGACGTTTAAGCACAGCGTGGCTGGTTTATTCTGCGTGTCTTCCATTAATAAAAACGCAGTTTATTAGTCGCTGCTCTGTGATGTGATCCTCCGTCGGGCTAATTTAGCAGCAGGCGACCTCGGAGTGGTGATTTCAGCCTCTGGTGTCGCGTTTTCCTCTGACATGAGTCATTTATGTCCATCCAGCCTTCACACAGCAGACTTTTCCTGTCCCGTCTTTTCACCTCCCAGGCTGCTTTGTTCTTCCTGCTGCGTCTCATTTAGTCCGGCTGTTCCCTCCGGGCCGTTTCGTCTGCAGAGAAGCCGTCTGGAGTCTCCTGTGGTAATTTCTCCTCCTGTTTGGCTTTTTAAGGTTCATCCAGTTGAAACTGGAGCGAGCGAGTTCGGCCGAGCGCCAGCTCGTCTTCAGTGAGATCCTGCAAGCGGCCTATCAGCTCATGGTGGACGTGTTTGGAAATTACGTCATCCAGAAGTTCTTCGAGGTATGAAAGTCTGTTGAGTCGACCCCGTTTTAGCTATATTCCACCAGGAAGTGACACCTTTTGTTTATTTATTTATTAGTTTGGCAGCCTGGACCAGAAGCTGGCTCTGGCCGAACGAATCCGAGGCCACGTGCTGTCTCTGGCCCTGCAGATGTACGGCTGCAGGGTCATTCAGAAAGCTCTGGAGTTCATCCCCTCAGACCAGCAGGTCATCGTGAGTGTGCTCCTCGCTCCCGTTTGCATGTAAACAACACAAACCTCTGACCTGCAGCGAGAGCGTCTGTGGTCGCTGGAGTCTGTCGTGATGGAGCGAGGACTCCTCGGTGACCACAAATGGCTTTTTCTGCAGCGAGGGTCTGCAGTGAATTCTGTCGTTAGCGACACGGAAACCTAATAAAAGAGCAGTTTGGATGCAAATGTTGAGCTGCAGGTAGGATGACTAAACGCACGCCGGCTGGAAGCACAGCTGCATACATTTAGTGTTTTAGAGAACGGGTTCTGTGTGTGTAAAAGTAATGCTTATCCATCTTTCCTTAATGGGCGCCAGTAGATTTCCCAATAGGGCATCTGTTAAAAAGTCCTCTCGCTCACCCCTCCCCTCTCTCCTGCAGAGCGACATGGTGCGGGAGCTGGACGGCCATGTGCTGAAGTGCGTGAAGGACCAGAACGGGAACCACGTGGTGCAGAAGTGCATCGAGTGTGTCCAGCCGCACGCGCTGCACTTCATCATCGAGGCCTTTAAGGGACAGGTGGGTTCCACTAACTCAAAGTGTTTCCTCGCTCAGTCACCGAAGCCTGCCAGCACCTGGCTGACACGCACGCCGTCATCGCCTGGAGGCAGCCAGCTGGTTGTCACAAAGTGCACAGGCTCGGTCTTTCTGCAGGGACGGGCTGCGTTGCCTTAGCAACAGGAGCTTCATCCCGTCGCCTGCCTGAAAAATAAATGTTAAATGAGCCGAAAGTGTTAACGTGAGACCTCGCTAACGGTTTTATTTCCCGGCGGGCGGCTCAGGTTTGTCTCCTTAGCTGGAAGCTGATGAGGAATTTACTCTCGCCTTCCCGGCGGGATGGGACCGGCTCGGCGGCGTGTTCGCTCACCTCACCTTGGTGAGCGTCGCTCTGAACGCCTAACGGTGAATAATGGTGTGTTTCAGGTCTTCGCCCTTTCCACTCACCCGTACGGCTGCAGGGTCATCCAGCGCATCCTCGAACACTGCCTTCCCGAACAGACGCTGCCTATTCTAGAGGAGCTGCATCAACACACAGAGCAGCTAGTGCAGGTAAAACACACACACGCGCGTTTGCCTCCATTTCAGGATGACAACTCGGTTTGGCTCAAATTAGCTCTTCCCCGAGCCTCCAGATTTTCAAACTTGGCTGAGTCTGACGTGACGTCAGAAGCACCAGCTGTCCCCCTCACATCCTAGTTAACGTGTCTGGGTTTGTCGTTTAGGACCAGTATGGGAACTACGTGATCCAGCACGTTCTGGAGCACGGCCGAGCCGAGGACAAGAGCAAAATCGTTGCAGAGATCCGAGGCAACGTTCTGGGACTGAGCCAGCACAAGTTTGCCAGGTGAACTCCTCCACAGACTCCCCAACTGTAACTCTAGAGGACAGTTTTCAGTTCAGCCTCTTCAGACTCGCAGGGTATCGGCGGGTCCTTAAAAAGTCTTAAATTAGCTTTTTCCAAACTTAAGGCCTTAAAAATCCTTAAAAAATGACAAATAATCCTTAAAAACACAAAATTCTTTTTTTTCTATAAACATTTTGTGAAGTTCTAGTTAGTGTTCAGCATTTTTTGCGTATGATGTTGGCGTAAACGGAACCGTACACATTCAGTTGGTTGTGAAAGGGGGCTACGTTTAGATGAGCACATTAGCTGGTTAAGCTAGTGGGAGCTGGCGCCGTGGGGAAGTTTAATGGTAACTGGGTGGTTAATCCCACGTTAACGACGTGGTTAGCACCGGTTCCAGGCAATAGCTGGAAATTATAGCTTAAATGTGGTCAAAATGGCCTTAAAAAAGGTCTTAAAGTCTTACATTTGGCTCCCTTAAACCTGCAGATACCCTGGACTCACCTGGAGGCGCAAGTCCCACCTGCGCATGTAGCGTGGAGTCCTTGATAGTGAACGTTTAAAACACAACAAACGTTCTTCTTACTGTTAAAGAAAACCGATTAAGGTTCCGTCTTTGAGGCTAAAACTGAGTGTCTGCATCGTTTTTCTCATCCAGTAATGTGGTGGAGAAGTGTGTGACGCACGCGTCCCGGGCAGAACGCGCCCTGCTCATAGACGAGGTGTGCAGCCTGACGGAGGGCCCCCACAGTGCCTTATACACCATGATGAAGGATCAGTACGCCAACTACGTGGTACAGAAGATGATCGACGTGGCCGAACCCACGCAGCGGAAAATCGTAATGCATAAGGTTAGTGGAGGGGTCGCCGGGAATGCTGGGTAATAAATGGAGGATCTCCAGGAGGTTTTTGATCCTCAGGCGGTTTGCAACCTTCAGTGAAACTTTTCAGCGCTGCAGCTGTTACAGGACACTTAGAAAAGAGAGCATTTATAAGTTTTCCTTACAGAACAAAAAAGGCCGCAAGTCATGTTCTCGTGCTGCACGTGTGCTAGCAACACGTCGCAGCTTCCAGTCCAAAAACCTGAAAGGGAGGAGACTGTTGAGCCGTTATTGATGCCTGTTGTCCTTCAGGCTTGCCGTAGTTAGTGATGGGTACCGAATTCAGTACTTTCTAAGGTACCGACCGAATTCCATAGTACCAGCCGAGCACCGATTCACGTCATTTGAAACGGTGCCTCGTTTCGGTACCCGTCCTTCATAACGAGAACTTGCCAAGACAGCTGCGCATGCGCAAGAGCGTTATGTTGTCGGTCGCTGCGAGCGAGTCGTAAACAGAGCAGCATGGTAGAAGAACGCACGCTAAAGCTTGGGTCCACTTCAATAAATGTGATGGGTAACTGGGCGATGATGAAACCAGCGACAACGATCTAAGTGAGACATCCTCATCTTAATCTGCTCCGGTAGGTAAATAAAATGTTTTAAGATAACGTTAGCTTGATATGTTAGCTTCTGTTTCGCTAACGGTGCGTTCGCTTTCTCCTCGGAACTCCGAATTCCCGACTAGAAGAACATGAACGCGCTCTAAAGTTTGGCTTCACTTTACTAAATGCGACTGGTGATTGGGTGAAGATGAAACCAGTGACAACGATTTAAGTGTGAGGCATCATCGTTTAAATCTGCTCCAGCAGCTAAATAAACTGTTTAAGATAACGTTAGCTTGGTATGTTAGCTTCCATTGCCACCATTGTTATCAGCTAATGGTGCGTTCGCTTTCTCCTCGGAAATTCTAACTTCCCAGTAGGAAAAATCAAATGAAAAAGGACGGCAAAAGGAATGAAGATACGCAGTCAATTTAGTTCACAGTAAAGATGTTTGCTTCAGTTTAATTATCAACTTATAAAACTACAAGGACGATGTTAAAATACAAACAGTTGTATGTTATTTATCGTGATATTTATCAAATATTGTTATATATTGAGAAAAATATATATTTAATTATAAAAGAGAATTAAAATAATAAACACTCAAAAGCATCGAAAATTGGTACCGTTAAGTACCGGATCGATTCAAATGTCAGATGTCCCCATCCCTAGCCATAGTTGTAGAAGAACACGGGTTCATGACGGTTGGAGGGTAGAGACAAGTAAACGGAGGTTTTGGGGATTATTTGACAACAAACACACTCTTCGCTCTGTGTGTGTGTGTGTGTGTGTGTGTGTGTGTGTGTGTGTGTGTGTGTGTGTGGTGAAAGTATAAAAATAAAAAGTGTGTGGCGACGGAAGTAGCTGGGCAGCTGTGTGGGGCGTGTGGGCGGTTCTGGTTCATTTGTGTCGTGAAGTCTTAAGTTTTAAAGTTAAGCTGTTAAAAAAAAGTAGCTAAAAGTGAGGATCACAGTGCAGGGAGACAGTTTCTCTCTGGGTTTGTTCAGATATCACCAGTGAACAGATTTTTCCCCCCACATGACTGAAAACAGGAGTTGCCCCCAGTCAGGATCTATAACAGCAGCTAAATCAACCCGTGGTGCTTCTGAACAGCGCTGATGAAGTTAGTTTTGTTGGGTTTCGGATGCGTGTGTGTAAACAAAAGTGTCACCTCTTTAGGTAATCCCGATAATTCAGTCGTCGGTTTCCACGGTGACGGTGCAAACGTAAAGACGTGATCCTTGTGTTGACGTGTTTTCACAGATCCGGCCCCACATTCAGACTCTGAGGAAGTACACGTACGGAAAACACATCCTTGCCAAGCTGGAGAAGTACTACATGAAGAACGGCGTGGATCTGGGTCCCCTCTGTGGCCCCCCTAACGGCATCATGTAACAACCCCCCCCCCCCCCCCCCCCCCCCCCAACTCACCTTTCTCTATCCCGTGTCCTCCACCCTGCTGTCTATCAGACACTTCAAATATCCCCCCCCCCCTCACTGAAGATGCAGAGTACCCCTCACACCGCTGTTTCCATGACAACCCTTCCGAAGGAGCTTGTTCCTACAGGCAGCCTTAGATTTTGGTCTTTTCGTCACCCCTCCCCCACCCGAGTTTAGGCCTGCTGAACTGGGGCAAGCAGGGCATGTGGGGGGTGGGGGGGGGGGAGAGGGAGGTGAAACCCAGTCTACTCATCGCTTCACTCGTCTTTTTTCTTCCCTTCCTTTATCCCCTCTTTTTGTTGTTTCTCATGAACTGAAAAAAAATTCACCTTTTGCTACTGCTGCACCCCCCCCCCCCCCCCCCCCCCCCCGATATTTACCACTATGAGAGTATTTAATTTGTCTCACACACACACACACACACGCGCGCGCACACACACACGCAGCTTAACCAGCAGACAGATCATTTAGCATGGGAGATTCGTTTTCTGGTCTTGCTTCTATAAATATAACGTGTATACTTGGTGTAGACCTTTGCATATATATATAAATATATATATAAAACTTTGTAGTTTTTCTGGTTTTTGATGTTGATTCTGTATCTATAATGTATCCTAGTAGTGACCACATACTTCTGACTGTATAATTGTACATTTGTAAACCCTTGTAATGTAAAAGTGCTTTACCACCCTTTTTTGGTATGAGAAGAAAACGAAACGGTAAAAAAAATTCACTCTAGAAAAAAAAAAACTGCATTTCATTGTATATTCTCGCCTCATTGGTTGTGACATATGAGTTGTTGTATATTGTAAATTGTAGTATAAATTTTTTGTTTTGAAAAGCCCTTTCTATTCAGCGTAGTACCTGTACAAAGATTCGCCACGCTTGGTTTTATCTTTCTCGTCACTGATAACTTCAGAACCCGCGGATCTCCCACTGGCTCCTGATTGGACGGATTCTGTTAGACTTAGTGGTGTCTTCTGAGTTTTTGACTTTTTATTAAAAAAAATCTTTTATAGGAGTGCTTTACCCCCTGAGATGTTTGCGTACGGGTTTACCGACCGGGTGGGAGGAGTGAATTTTACTCATAAGCCCCTCCCCCTTTGCTTCCCGAAGCCCTTGACTTACCCATGATGCTTCAGGGGTAAATCCACGGATTGTACAGAGGAGGTTTCGGTTCATTTTCTCTCTCGTGCTGTAAGTGCTGTATCATACGTGTCCTTTTGGGTGAGAGCGGCGCCGTGTACATTTGAAGCAGCCTTGTGTATATTTACTACGAGCACACCTGTAACCATATGTGTATAGTTAACAGAACCTGTGTATGCTTATTGCCTGGGCAACTATTTTTTGTAACTCCTGTTGTAGATTGTCTCCTAAACAATTGTGTGATCTTTATTTTGAAACCAAACTGAACAAAACAAACAAAAAAAAACTTTGAAAATTTAACTGTCTTGAGTGTGTTTTTGTGTGGTTGATGTTTTTTTGTTGTCTTACCTGGATCCTCACCTGAGGAGCAGGATGTTGAGTTTTCTTTGCACCTTTAACGCCAGATTCCAACATTTCCGAGCACTCCCGACTAAACGGTAGGATAATATTCTGTTTTCCGTTTACGACTCGTGATCTGACCGAAGATAACCTGACTGTCGTGTTTGGAGGGGACCTGTCGGAACACGTCAACCCCTGTTGCAGCCTTTTATTGACATAGTTGAGTCAGGCTCCGCCCACTATACCTGTTCCCACCTGTCTGGTGTTTGCATGCATGCGGGTGTGACGAGGACTGGTTTTCCTTAAGCGAACCGTTCAAATAAACAATGAGCTAATTATTCTTTACGCTTGATGACATTTTCCAAATCTTAATTTTGAGCGTTAACTGTAAACAAAGTTAGATTAAATATAAATTTTACAACAATGACTAAAGAAATAAATGATTAGGGAATAAAGTGTTCATTATCATTTTCATTTCCTGTATTTCGGTCGTCTGATGGAATTGCCGACACATTTTAAAGTGACCTGTTTTATTTTTAATAGCCAACAATGATAATAAACAACGTTCTAAACTGTGTTTATGAATCAAAAAATATCAAAGCATCTCTGCTGTGTTCTGATTTGAGTGAAATTAATTTGACTTCTTATTCTCTCCAAGCAAATTCTTTGGTGTCCTAAATGGTAATTTTATAGTTTAGTTTGAAATCTGATTTAATGATGAAAAAATTTAATATTTTTAGAACCAAATCTAAATCTATACTCTTGAATCTAAATAAAAGTGTGACAGCATTAATATTTAGCTCATCTAATTTCAGATGGAGCCTAAACCAAAATATAAACGGCGCATCTTTGGTTCTATATTTGAGCAGAACTCCATAAAAATATACATTTGATTCTGCATCTTTGTGAATTAAGATTTACCAGTTAACCTTAATTTACCTTTATTCATTTAGTTTTCATTCTAAACGTGATCAATCTTTATATTTAACTTCATAACCGATTTTTATATAACTAGTTTAGATTTTTGTGATAAATTTTCTGTCTAAAATAGTGATTTTTTAAAATATATAAATGCATTACCTAAAGAGTTGACTGTCATATTTAGATGTAATTTCAGATCTTTAGAATCTCAACCTCTATATATGGTGCGACGGTGGCACATGAGTTAAGTGCAGGTTCGAGCCCCACTCAGTTTGTCGCTGTCGTTGTGTCCTTGGGCAAGACACTTAACCCAGCTTGCCTGCTGGTGGTGGTCGGAGGGACCGGTGGCGCCAGTGCTCTGCAGCCTCGCCTCTGTCAGTGCGCCCCAGGGCAGCTGTGGCTACATTGTAGCTCATCCCCACCAGTGTGTGAATGTGTGTGTGAATGACTGATTGTGTTGTAAAGCGCCTTGGGGGGGTTCCAGGACACTAGAAGGCGCCATATCAAATACAGGCCATTTACCTTTTTTATCGTTTTAATTCTAAACATTTATTTCTGGGATTATTCCTTTAGAACATGTATCACATTTTTATACTAATTAATCATTTTCTAAACTGGATTGTTTTAAAATTGGTATCGGCACCCCACACAACACATATCTAATGGTTTCTTTTAAAATTCCTGGGAATTTTTATATGGCACATTTGCTTGCCTTACCACAAAGGGGAAGTCTAATAATTAATCAGGCAGGTGTGAAGTCCTGGGGACCAATCCCAGCAGGCGGTTCGGATCAAGGTGTGTTATAACTGGCACCGTGATGAGTTTGTGTGTGCGCGCGCGCGCGTGCATGTGTGGGTGTGCTTCAAACCAGCTGCAGGGGGCATCATCGCCCCTACACGAGGAGATTTTTAACACACACACACACACACACTACTCCCCCCCTCCAAACTCAAAGGCCGGGCAGCAGCGCCATACGGAACATCCTGCGCTGAGCGGAGAGGGGGGAGGAGAGAGGAGAGCGTGCGCTGAGAGACAGACGGAGGTCTGGAGTCTCCCGGATCCGAACTATCAACCTCCAGAACTCTGAGAACCAGAGAGAGAGAGAGGAGGGCTGGTGGGAACCTCGGTGTTGATTAAAGAGCCCGACCAGGAGGAGGACTGATGTTCGCGCTCTGAAGTTGGACACGCTACTACCGAGAGCCCGGGAGCCAGCACACGCACAGCAGGAGCAGCCCGGTTCACCTCCCCGAACCCCCGCTCCTCCCTGCTCTCCCCTGAAGGCGGCGGCGGCACCGGGAGGCTGCGCCCACGAGTCCCGAACCATGAAGCTGCCTTGGATGTTTGCGCTCACGGCGCTGCTGGCGCACGCGACGGTGAGTCCGAGCGGAGCTGCAGGTTCTTTGTTAACTGGTGCGCTCACAAGTCTGTGCGCGTGCGTGCACGTGTGTGTGTGTGTGTGTGTGTGTGTGGCACTGGCACTAACATTAACGAGACGGCGGTGATCGGTAGGAAATCCTGCACTCGACCTACATATCCGCGACTCCCGTCAGGAGGAGGGGAGGGGGGGGGTCTCCCCAACCCCCACTTCTCTCTCACACACACACACACACACACACACACACACACACACACCACACACACACACACACACACACACACACACACACACACACACACACACACACACACACACACACACACACACACACACACCAGCCTTTTGTGTCGGGGCTTATTGGAGTTGTGTTC